GGCGTCAGAAGGACTGAGCCGCCTCCCGGAAGTATGGGAAGAGAACGCCGTGCTGCGCGGGTTCGGCGGGAAAGGTAAGTGATCGTTACAGTACCCCCCTCGAAAACCGCCCACAGGGCAGGCAGAACCAGACCTGCGTGAACGTCGTCTCTCAAATAAATGAACCAGGCGAGGGGCGTGAACATCAGAGGCATTCACCCATGAACGTTATTTCATTGAGGGGACTTTTAATTTTATGTTATGAGTACTCAACTATACACTGTCACCTGCTACGAATGTAGGCGCAGCTCTACGACGTCTATCCGCATTATTTTTTTTAATCTGGGCCTTCTGAGTCAAAATATGTTTAACCCCTAACCAAGTCTCTCTCATATCGTTGATAGTGCTGTCAACACTAGGCACTCCAGTAGATGAAAAAGAACTCGGCAGAGTTGTAGGGTTAAAACTATAATTAATAAAAAAGGGACTATGTTGAGTAGATTCGTGCACCAGATTATTATGGGCGAATTCAGGCCATGGAAGTAGCTCCACCAATCGTCTTGATGCTCAGAAGTGAAACAGCGGATATATTGTTTCAGGCATTGATTCATCCTTTCCATAACCCCGTTTGATTGGGGATGGTAAGATGAAGAAAGGTTAAGATTAATACCTAGTTGGTTACAAAATGCCCTCCAGAACCGTGAAACGAATTGTGGCCCTCTGTCGGAAGTAATATCTTGAGGTATGCCATGCAAACATACCACCTCTTTTATAAATTAAGAGGCCAGTTTGGAAGAAGAAGGTAATTTGATTAACGGGACCAGATGGGTCATTTTAGAGAATCTGTCGATTATGATTCTTGGAGGGAGGCAGGTCCACTACAAAATCCATGGCAATACTCGACCAGGGTTTATCGGGAATGGGCAATGGCAAGAGGAGACCAAAAGGACGGCCTTTGGGTGATTTAGTAGAGGCACAGATCCTACATGCAACAACGAACTCACGAAAATCCTTCTTGTATGAAGGCCACCAGAATTGTTTTTCAAGTAAAGATTCAGTTTTGTGAATACCCGGATGCCCTGCCAATTTGGAGTTGTGTACAAGGGATGAAAATTTTTTTCTATAAGCCAAGGATATGTTCCTCGGGGAACTGTTAATGAGGCACGATCCTGGAACTTTGATAGTTCCTCCATTAACCCAGAAGAGATTTTGGAATGGACAGTGGCAATTATGTGCTTGGTTGGGATTATGGAGGAAAAATGGGTTACGGGAGGTGATAAATGTTCATGTTGATGGGATAAGGCGTCAGCCTTAGTGTTCTTTGACCCTGGTTTGTAAGTTACAATGTAATTGAATCGTGTTAAAAATAAAGACCATCGAATCTGCCTGTCTGACATTCTTTTGGCCTCTCCAAAATACGAAAGGTTTTTATGATCCGTAAGGATGGTAATAGGAATAGCTGACCCTTCTAACAGATGGCGCCACTCTTTAAGAGCTGAGATAATAGCCAATAATTCCCTGTCTCCAATATCATATCTTTTTTCTGTTTCTGTTAATTTCTTAGAAAAAAAATCCACAGGGATGCAGCAGTTGATCATCAGAGGTTTGTTGAGATAGCACAGCCCCAATACCCTTTTCTGATGCATCCACCTCTAATAGAAAGGGACGTGAGGGATCGGGATGTCTCAATACTGGCGCTGAGGAAAAAGCCCTTTTTAATCTCTCAAAAGCTTCCTTGGCCTCGAGACTCCACTCCATGGGATTCCGTCCCTTTTTGGTCATGGCAGTGATAGGGGCAGTGATAGAGGAGAATCCCTTAATAAATTTCCTGTAATAATTAGCAAATCCCAGGAAACGTTGGATGGCTTTGAGTCCAACGGGCAAGGGCCAATGTAGAATAGCTTCTAGTTTTTTTCTTTCCATTTGAAATCCTGACCCTGAAATTATATAGCCCAGAAAATGTACTTCATCCTTATCAAACAGACATTTCTCTAACTTACAGTAAAGCCCATTTTCTAAGAGTTTAGAAAGAACCAACCTGGCATGAGTTTGGTGGTCTTTAATATTGTTGGAGTAGATTAGGATATCGTCTAAATAGACTATTACAAACATCTGTAAATACTCTCTTAAAACATCATTAATGAAGTCTTGAAAGACTGCTGGGGCATTACATAACCCAAAGGGCATGACCCGATACTTGTAGTGACCATAACGAGTATTAAAAGCAGTCTTCCATTCATGCCCTTTCTTAATTCTGACTAAATTGTATGCTCCCCACAGATCCAATTTAGTAAATATTTTCACCCCTTTTAATCTGTCGAAAAGTACTGTAATCAATGGAATAGGATAAGCGTTACATATAGTTATTTTGTTTAAACCCAGATAATCAATACAGGGTCTTAAATCCCCCTCCTTTTTAGAAACAAAAAAAAAAAAACAGCGCCAGCTGGGGAGGAAGATTTAGTAATAAATCCCTTCCTTAAGTTTTCTGTGATGTATTCTTCTAGTACTTTATTCTCGGCCACAGAGAGAGGATAAATGTGCCTCTAGGGGGCATAGTGCCAGGTAATAAGTAAATGGGACAGTCATTTGTCCGATGCAGAGGTAATTTTTCTGCTTCTCGTGATTCGAAAACAGCTTTCAGATCCAAATATTGTTTGGGTATCTGAGTGGTTATAGGTTCCTTAGTAGGCACATTAAGTAAACCTACGTGTTTAATTGGAGTAATACACTTTCTAAGACAAGTATCACCCCATTTTAAAATCTATTTTTTCTCCCAGTCTATAGAAGGATTATGTTTAGAGAGCCAGGGAAAGCCAAGGATAACAGGAAAGATGGGAGAAGTGACTTGTTGCAGGATTATAACCTCCCTATGCAGGGAACCTACGGACAATACCACTGGATTAGTCTCTTGTGTGACAAAAGGGATTGACAGTGGTCTACCATCTATGGCCTCAACAGCCAAGGGTGTTGCTCTATTTTGAAATGGGAGAGCATATTTCTGACCGAATTTGCGATCAACAAAGTTCTCGGCCGCCCCAGAGTCTATCCTTCCCATTCAATAACTACTGGTAGAAGAAGCCTATGATCTTTCTTATCATTAAAGGAGGACATACACATTACACCACTGGATTAGTCTCTTGTGTGATAAAAGGGATTGACAGTGGTCTACCATCTATGGCCTCAACAGCCAAGGGTGTTGCTCTATTTTGAAATGGGAGAGCATATTTCTGACCGAATTTGCGATCAACAAAGTTCTCGGCCGCCCCAGAGTCTATCCTTCCCATTCAATAACTACTGGTAGAAGAAGCCTATGATCTTTCTTATCATTAAAGGAGGACATACACATTACACC